GTTACTTAATTTATTTAGCATTCAAGTCCATTCCAGATACTTCGGGATTTTCCAGAGTAATTCAAGCGTTCCTGAATTTTAGATACATATTGTACTTTCGTTCAATTCAGTTCGATATTCGTGGTTGATTTGTCGAACAAACATCTAATTCTTTATACTGAATGTGATCCAGAGTTGAGCTAAGCTAAATACTTCCAAAATTTATCATCGAGTCAAACTTAAGAAGACGAACACGCATTCCAGTAATATCTATGCCATTCAGGTATTGACATAGCTTTAGGGTTGATCTACTCACTTAAATTACGTTCCAATACTTTTAAAAGTAGGCCAACACCTATGCTTATTTGGATTCCTTAATTAATCCAACGTATTTACTTGGTATAGGTCATGAGGGTATTTTGGTAATTTTGTGTTCAGTTTTATTCCATTCATTTCAGAGCTCGAGGATATCCAATCATTCCTAAGCTTGGTGATATTCTTGGGTCATTTCCATTACATGGATATTTTTTATCATTGTACAAATTCAGTGTACTTTAATTATTTCCTTCCGTCTGATCTTACTATTAAATTCAATCTTATCATTTATTTCAATCCTTTCGAACAATTTTGACAACAGAACACCCCCGACAAATTGTTCTTCAGGTATTTATTCATAACTCGGATATTTCCGGGTCAATTGCCTTCTCAGATTTTACAAATGGAATATTAGGAATTTTCCTGCACTAAGTCAGGATCGTAACAATCAAATCCGTACTTAATCGAGTTAAGTACAAATCCTCAAAGTATTTTCTCATTCAGGGTCAACTCGGACTATTTTACCTTTCAAGGGAATTTCTGTAATTTCTTAATCAGATGATTTCGATATTAGCTCTTAACAAAAATAATATAATTTAGAGATCCTATGATTAATTACTTTCTTGAATACTCTCTGATCTTGAAATGATTCCCTTAATAGACTTCTAGTATCCTTCACAAACTCTCCTAGGATTAAAACCGGTTATCCATAATTTCCAAATAAAACTAACATTTCTTATGCACATCAATATTTTTATCAGATCAATATGTCTGTAAAATCCTCTTATCTAACTTCTATATTCAAATCTTGTCTTTTTATAACATAAGGGTATTTTCATAATTTTACCCTACCGGAGTATTCTCATAATTTCTCATCCAAGTACCTTTAACATTTAACCTTTGATGAAATAAATTATAAGTTGCAAATACATGGCTGATTTCTTTATCACTAATCACAAACTTGTAATTTAATCTAATAATTCCTCAATCTCTTATATTATTCATTTGATCCGTAATCAGTTACATAATTTCTACCACATCATATCGAGTGTATAAATTATTCAACTCCACCAAAGTGACCAACATTATCTTGTTCATGCATTTATCAATATAAACATGTTCCATAAAGCATAAAGAGGTAGTAAAGTATTACCTCGATTTTCGTGCAATACTGATCGACCATAAAAATTCCATTCGAATGCCTTTGATCTTCAATTCAACTTCCAATAATTCCTCAGATACATATCAACATAAATTATATCAGAAACGGAGCTTAATTACGAGTATGGATCGAATCGGGTAATAAATCAGTGAAAAATAGCTTACCGAGTTCGAATTTGGCGAAACGGACTTCGGATTTGGATTCAGGACGTCGAAAGATGTCAGGATAGGTATACTCGGTCAAAAACAAAGGTCGTTTAATGCCCGGTCAAAGCCCGTCAAAGTTTTGGTCAACAGTGGTCAACGCCGGTCAACGAGTCAACGGGTCAGGTCAACGGGTCGGGTCGGGTTGTGACCGGTCAAATTTGCTCCAAAACCGGTCAAACCGGTCATTTGGACCATCCCCACGCATAGTGGCGGTGCGTGGGACCCACACTGGTGTCTTATAAATCACGTAAGAATTTCTAAAAATTATTTTGAGCGATTTCGAGATACTTACAAAGCTCGGTTCGAATTTTTGAACGACGGAGAGCTCGATTTCAACGAATCGAAAACTTTGACCACTTCACCTCCTCACGAACCGCCGTCGACGGAGACCAAGGATGACACCGGCAGACTCGGAACAGAACAAAGAACACGATGGTGCGGGAGGTGTAGTAAAAGGATGACCGGATCGTCGTGAATCGATGAAAAACCAACTAAAATCGAGTTATTACCGACGATACTTCCGACTGAAATTAACGACAAACGGCGATGATTCACGACGAAAGGTTTGAGGGGTTTTGTTCCTTGGTTGACAACGAACACGATGGTGGTTTCGGTTCGTCGATCGGAGGTCGGACGACGAGTAGATCGGAGTTGGAAGGAGGGTTGTTGGAGAAGGGAAATCTGGAAAATATGAAAACTGCGCACGGGGAAGAACTTATAATTCATCATTTATAAGAAATGGTTAAATCATGAGTTTAGCCAGTGAATTTCCTGCACTTTATAAAATGGTCTACCAACTTTAAAACTTTACAATTTAATCCCTAATTTCTTCCTAAAATACCAATTAAATTCACCACTTTTTAATTTCTTAAATTTTAACCCCTAAATTGGGGTGTTACATAATCTGATTTTTTTATTCTTTGAATGAACTAATTTGTTTCAATCTTTATGGGAGGAAGTTTGATAGAACTGATCCATTAATGCTAAGCTTTGTATAGATTGGGATCTTCTTGACTATCGGTTTTTTGTAGATACTCTTGTTGTCTTGTAGTTGTTTTGTCGCGCTTCTTTTGGATTTAATACATACATTTTATCCCTAAAAAATTCCAACATACTTGGTGTTTTATTGCATGCATGGCCAAGAAATTCGATAAACATTTTAAAATAATAATATTGTCACCGCTTCATCTTTAACAACATCGGCGGAATCATGCCTTTCCTCGCTGTCTTTCTTCTTGGAATGTTTTGATTCCTTGGATTGTTCTTACTCAAATACATTAGGGCGTTTTGTTGAAGAATCAATCATAAAATGAGTCAAATGATCGATTAACATAGTTATCCTATAACATGTCAGTTAGTTCATCGTGCCACATCAATATTTTGTTACACCTAGTAAAGGTTGCTAATAATTAGTGACCAATTTTTTATAAACCAATAATACTAATGATCAAATCATTACTTTTGAAACATCAATGAGGAAAAGAAAAACTCAAATATCGGTCATCATTTATATAGTTTATTATTTTATTTAATAAAATATATTTATATTTAATATGATGAAATAATCAAGACAGAATGGTGTTATTTAATAAAATAATAAGAACTTGAGTAATATATTTAATTTTATTTAAAATTTATTATATCTGATTTGTCCCAATAAACAATTGAGACGAAGTGTGTATTATTTAATAAAATAATAATAAGTACTAATAGTTATTGTTAAAGCTATGCGTTGCATTGTTTAACTATAGTAATTCCTTTGTCCCTATAAAATTGTCATTTTTGTATTTTTTTTTCAATTGTCCTATTCAAATTTTTACTTCAAAAGTTTCAACAACTATCAAAAACATTATTTTCTTTTTTACTATTTTTCTTAATTTCTCATAACAATAAAAGTTAACTTTGTAATGTCTAAATTGTATTTTAAATTATTTTACGTCACATCTTTTACAAAAAAACTTCTTCCTAAAACTACATCGATAATCAACCTGAAATAACAGAAACCGGTGAAATATTATTTAATAAAATAATAATAACTTGGGTAATAAATTTAGTTTAAAATTTATTATATCTGATTCTACTAAAAAATATATATATTTAAATTTAATTAAGAGGATGGAATATGACTCGTGAATAAATCGAAATTTCCCCTCAATTTGGATCATGCATATTTAGATCCATTTATGTTTTTATTTAATAAAATAAAATACTTTTCTTTAGTATTTATTAATTATGTGAATTTCTTTTATGAAATTTGTAATATAAATAACTTAATTTATTTTTAGTATTTATATTATAGTATAATATATTTCATTTTTATATGATATTAATTATATATTATATCACATTGAAGAAAACTAATAGGGTAAATTACATCAAATACCACTATACTTTATAGTTTGTATTAATTTTACCTATAAATTTTAAAATGCTTTAATTGTAATGTTGAATTTTGATTTTGACTTCAATGTAAGCAACTATTAAATCGTTAACCATGTGATGGTGTTACTGTTTTCTTCTTGATAACTTTAATTTGTGTATTGATTTTATCATTAAACTTTATATTACTTTATTTTCAGGAATCAAATTTTAGTTTTTGTATCATTTTTGTCACTACAGATAGTCATCAACTACTTTAGGATTTTTTGCCAGACAATCATCACCATCATTAGTCGCCATTCGTGACAAGATCAATATCAAAATATTCACATTTCACTCTTTTTTTTCTTCTCCTCAATTTGATTTCTTATGAAACTCAATCAAAATTGTTGAAAATTCATCTAAAGGTCCAATATTTTAATACCTCAATTTTCTTTGAAGGTTGTCCAATGAGACTAGTTTTCTGATATGTTATTCATCTTCTCAAAACAATGTCTCCCACTACTCGACTTTTCGAGCAAACACGCCATCCTCAAATCTAAGAAAAAATCCAAACCTTATAAAAAGATAGATTCTATATTTGATTTCATGAGTTTTAAAGAAGTTTTGAAAAAATCTTAAATAAAATAAAAGTGATAAAAGAATATGAAACGAATTCATCCGTGTTTAGGGTGATCACAAAAAAACTACAAAGGACAATGGTTTAAAAAATAATTTAAAATAGGTGAAAATCATAACTTAGATGAAAAAGATGATAAAGTGAAATAAAAAAAAATTGACTTTAGCGTGACAGATCGTCCGATTATTGATGGGTCAATGGTTAAATGTTATAATCGAACTAATTTAAAGTATAATGATAAAATCAATAACAACTTAAAATTGGTTGGTATTTGATATATTACCCAAAAATTTATTATTAACTTGAAAATGATCGGCTCTCGAGGTTTGAGTATTGGAAATATGGAACAAGCATAGTAATAGCATCAGAAGAAGAAACCACGAAACAGGCTAAGAGAAAAAAATGGGTGACGCTCTTCAACTCCCCATCATTGACTTGTCCTCACCCGATCGCTTGTCCACCGCCAACTCTCTCCGTCAAGTTGTGTTTTTGTTTCTTCTTTAGTTTTTTGGGTTGCCGATAATTCAATCCTTAGGGAGTTGCAAATTGGGTGTATTGATTTGTCATATATAGACACTGGTTTTAGGAGCAAAGAAATCTCCTCTGCATACAATTCGTTACTCTTTCTAGATTCAATGAAATTCGCTTTTGAGCAGGCATGCGTTGACCAGGGTTTCTTCTACCTTGTGAATCACGGGGTTGATGAAGAATTGGTTAAGGAAGTGTTTGAGCAGAGTACCAAGTTCTTTTCACTCCCGATTGAAGGCAAGATGAAGTTGGGTAAAACGAATCACAGAGGTTATACTGAACTTTATGCTGAAAAACTTGACACTTCTTCTTTAAGTACCAAAGGTATTTTTATTTCTTTATTTTAATTGATTGAACTTTCCTTTTCCTAAAGCTGCCTGTTAAATGATTATTCCAACGAATTTATTACTTGTGGGGTTATCCAAGATTTTTGAATGAACCCATTTCAGCAGTTTGCTTTCTTAATTTCTTTATTTTTTTTAAAGGTGATTTTAAGGTGAAATTGATTAGTTTTGACTGCTTGGAAAACAGGGGACTCTAAGGAAAGTTTCTATATTGGTCCGCTTGCTGATAACCTCAATCAATGGCCTTTAGAAGGTACATATTGTTATACAAAACATCTTGTTTTAGTTGTTTTCTTGATATGAGAAATTTAGTTGGTTTATACTAAGATGTTTTTTTTACTGGAAAACATCAGAAGATCTGCCATCTTGGAGAAGCACAATGGAGACTTATCATAAAAAATTGCTGAGTCCCTGATGTTAGTTCACATATTGTTTTTTTTTTACTTCATACATCTCTGGTTTCTTTGTACTTTATATTTAGCAAAGAACTTGTTCAAAACATACTTTTGAGTTCTGATTTTGATTTTATCTTGCATGGAAATTTATGCTATGAGATTCAGCTACTTCTGCGCATAGGACATTGTTCTACTGGTAATCTGGTACAAGTGTTTCAGAATACCAGCTTGTAGAATGGAAAGACTGCAAGGTTTAAATGGTGCTAAATTTGTTTGAACAGGTCTGTTGTGACTAAATTACTTTCTTTAATTGCCCTGTCCCTGAAACAAGAAGAAGATTTCTTTGAAAAAGTGGGAGCACTTAATGAACCTTTGGCATTTATTCGTTTATTACATTATCCAGGAATGCTTGAACTATTTGGTTTCTTCATATCTGGCTTTACACTTGCATTTGCAATTTTCCATTTGAGGGAAGAAATACATACACACACACACATATAAGGAAAAGAGATGGTTAAAAGTTCAGAGCCATAAAACCTTAATAATATAACAATATGCCTCTAAATTTTGATGTTAGGAGACTTGGACTCTTCTTACGAAGAAACATATGGTGCTTCTGCTCATTCAGATTATGGAACAGTCACTCTTCTGGTTACTGATGGTGTTCCGGGGCTTCAGGTGTGTTCCTTGTTAATAATATGCAAGCCTTACATTTTTATTTCGGTCCAACATCCGCTTAACCTCTGTGAAAGCCAGATTTGCAGGGAGAAATCTGTGAAACCACAGGTTTGGGAGGATGTGCCAAGCTTGAGTGGGTGAGTATTAATGATGGAAGATTGTTCAAGTAAAGACTAGAAAAAAAGTACTGGATTAAGGTGCTTTGTTCCTACCTGTCAATTTTTTCCACTTAGCCTCTGAACATTGGATCTGAACCTGTAGGGCATTCATTGTCAACATCGGGGACATGATGGAGAGGTGGACTAATTGTTTATTCAGGTAATCCAGTTGCCTCTCATCTTAAATAGCAATCGATGCTTCTCTTGAAGGATTTGTAAAATGATAATTCCGGTTTCTTTGTATCCCTAATTTTGTGTCATGCTTTAGGTCAACGCTGCACAGAGTTCTGCAACCCCGACAAGACCGCTACTCCGTAACAATTCACCTTTTGCTGTTTACTTTTAGTCAAGTCATCATGTCCAAGTAATTCAGAATAATAGTTGAACATCTTTTTTGGAAATTTAAATTATGTTAGGAACATTTGTTTAATATTCTGTCAACTTTGGTAAGCTTCGTGTTGAGGGCGATATTATCTGTTCATAACTTGATTATTTGATGGGGAACAAAGGATTGAAATGTTATCACCAGTCATTGCACACTGCTAATTCTATCACTCTTCAATTGACGGAAGCCTTTTCTGTTTAAAAGTTCTATAATTATGTTGCGAACATTTCAGGTGGCATTCCTTACGAATCCCAGCAAAGATTGTATTGTGGAATGTTTGGAAAGCTGTTGCAGCGAGTCTTGTCCTCCAAGGTATCACTTCGATGGGTACTTTTGATGTTTATGATTCGATTATAGTTAAAAAAAAAAACTATCAAATAGAACATTGATGCGTTCTGCTCAAATAGTATTGATGAGCACAATCTAATTGAAATCTAAAGAGGCCGTTGTATGTTGCTTAGACTCGGGTGAGTGTCCGATACATACATGCTTTTTTTTCTATATTTTTTAATGTACTTGAATGGTTATATCCCCGTACCAACTATGTGTCAAATATGGATATTTGAAGAAAAATAAGAAATGGGAGCATCATGAATTTCTTACATGTTTATCATATAAAAGATAGGTAACACGTTTTCATTCTTACATGCAGATTCCCACCCATAAAATCCTCAGAATACTTGGAAGAGCGCATCAGACTTGCAAATGACTTTTAGCTAAAGAAAGTGCAAACATTGAACTCGATGCGATCACAGTGTGCAGGTCTCTGTACTGTAATAAACAAACACAAATTATTGTACCAAAATCATCAACATTGTACCAAAACTTCTATCTTGGTGCCTTGGCAAGAAAGCTGTGTGTAACGACATGTGTATCTCTCTGTACTTCAAACACTAATTATTGGTATGCGAATCTAGATGTTTAGCTGCTACTCAGATCTGTTTTACTTTCGCTCATTAGCAGTTCAATTTCATGAACTTCAAAAAGGAATTTCAGGTTTTGATTATCAGACTTGGTTTTCAAATACCCCTAGATGGTTTGGTCCTGGTTGCAGCTTCTCCGTATTTACTTTGAGGACCTTTTATGCCAATCTTTAGCTGAAGTTGAGAATCAAGATGATCGTCTGGAAGGCTCTTCTTTTATGTTAAATTATTACGATGGAAAAGTACATAGTATACACTCTAACCGAAGAAAATTCGGATTTTAGTTCGGGTACGTGTTCACCTTGAGTTAAGGGTGGATCCGCCGCCACCGTATATGCTTAACTTTCTAGACATGTTCAAGTGGATGAACTTTTGTTGCCCATGAAACATGCAGGGAGTTCTTTTTTCCCTCATCAAGTTGTATATGCATGAGTCGCTTCCCTGCACCACTAGAAACTTTGTTGTATGCTTGTGTGTTGTTTCATTGCGTCTCTGAGAGTTCCTTTTCCTAAAAAATTATTATCATTATTTGTTTGTATGTGCTGTATAATATAACTAGTTCGTTTTTCTCTTCTTAGGGAATTTGAGATGTTGAAAAAAAAACCCATTAAGTCGGAATTTAGTAATCAAATGATTCCAATTTTTTTTTTCTATTTATTTAATTTTTTGGACAAAATTCTATTTATTTAATTTGAGGGTTGAGATGGATTTTTGGTTTCATTTGAGGTGTCAGGCAAGACATTTAAACCCGTTAACTCACTTTACCAAAATTTAGGGTCGTTTGATTTCGGAAAATATATTTTTTATTTCTTTTTTTTTTGTTTTTATTTTCAGAAAATAATTTTTATTTTCACATTCTTAAAAATTAGAAAATATATTTGGTTAATATAAATGAAAATCTGGTTTTAGAAATAAAAATAGTTAAAATATATTTGGTATCTAATTTTTTTAAATAGATATGAACAAATAGTTATTAAATAATTATATTAAACTTTAATTATTAAAAAAATTGTTACATAACTTTAATATGTGAGTTATGTAAATATAAAATAATAAGGTTGATAAGAAATTTTATAACAAAAAAAATTATTTTAGTTTGTAATTAGAATATAATATTAATGTATATTGAATATCAATTAAATTTAAAAAAATACAAAAAAATTGTTATAAACAACAGTACAAAAAGTCATTAAAGTAAAAAAAATATGTTTAGTAGTATTTAAGTACTTTAAACTTTTTTTTTTGGGGGGGGGGAGGAACTAGTGTATACCTTTAACTTTTTTAAATGTAAATTGAGGAAAAAATCAATTTAATCCTTTGACTAACGGAATCAAAATTTTACTGTCACGATGCTTACATGACAATATACAATATTGATGTGATATTCATGATGTTGTTGTTATAGCATATGATGGATGATGATGTGGTAGATGTACTAGATTTTTTTGGTTAAGTTCGATGGTCTAATTGATTCATTTAGAAATCTAAACACTTAATTACCATTTTAGGAAAATTAAAAAATCATTTAAACTTAAAATATAAATTATAAATAATTATTAAGATTTTTAATACATTAAATATAAAAATATTAAAAAACTAAATTATTAAAAAAATTAGTTTAAGGACCATATTGAGTATAAAAAAACTAAGCATGTAAATTTAGATTTTTGCATTTTGTATAAGTGGTTTAAGTATATAAGCGTACTTGTATCTGAGTCTGAGCAGGAGAGACACCCGCATAGGACACCAGTCGAAATAAAATTAATTTTCATTCTTTCTGTCAATCATGGACCCAATTAAGCTTAAAATTAATTTTTTTCCTGTCGAGGACCTCAATCAAGGTTGAAATTAAATTGTTTTTACCTTGCCCAGGGCCTCAATCAAAAAATCAAAACTAGTTTTCTTTTTTTCATTTTAAATTTTAAAAATTTAATGCTTAGACTTATTCTTAGTCTTTTTGAGTAATAGTATTGATCATTCATTAATAAAACGACACAAAGATGAAGAATTACCACCTTGAAAATAACTCAAAAGTAAAATTTTAAAAGTGAACATTATTTCAAATTTTGTTTTATTTAACAGTCATTATTAATGAGTATTCTCTTAGTTTTTCTATGCTCTTGATGTAACCAATAAATAATATTTATGTTCAATGCTTGTTGTCTTTTATTTATATAATGAATCCTTCGTTCAATTTTCTTTATTATTTTGTTCAGATTATATATTTTAAAGTTGGTAATACTCTTTTGATATTTTCTTATATCAGAATTCGATCGGGTCGAAACTCGTCAGGTTCGGGATCCCATGTCCATTCATAGTCTCATGCCACCACAATCTTAGAAACGGGCCTATGTATAAGTAAGTGGGCTTGAGACCCAAGCTCAACGAGATTTTAGATCACAAATTACTTTTCATTTTGTTGTTCGATCTTAGTATTGATGTGCTTCTTCCCAGACGTAGAGCGTTGTTGCTTGGACTCTCGGTTCTATTAAAGTATCACCACCATAGCGTCACCGTAAACATCTAATAATGCCTACTTACAGAAAAAAATATAGGTATTCATATAAATAAACACACACAACCACATACTTGGCATAAATATATGAACTATTATATGAAACATGCCCAAACCATAGCCATAAAATGCACAACCATGTTCCGCCAACAACATGCAACACCTTGAGAACCGTTGTCTCAGTTTAGTACTTGGATTTTGTTACGTATGAAAGGGCGAGTCCTGGTCAGGGTTTGGCCATTGGAGAGACCACCACGAATTCCAACATTGATAAATAATCCAATCAGTGATGGATCCAATTTTTTTTAGGTAGGTACGTGTATATATATATATTATTAATAAATAATTATAAATTAAATAAAAAATAAAATTCAATTTAAACTGAATAATTATAATTTTTAAATCTATACAAAGACTTGATTTAATTTTTGGTTCATTGACTCTTCCCTCACCCCTATGTAATTGTGGATTAACATACGAGCTATATGAGTCCTGGTTATATGAGAACCCGCAATGTAAAACGCATACCTGTCTGCATTCTCAAAAACGTAGGCAATTTACTGAGAGTGTAAAATCGAATATATTTGAATGTTTAACATATTTTGACTTAAAGGTAAAAATGAATTTAAACAAAATATAATATCTATAAATGTCTTTAACATTTGTTTAAATACTCATTTTGACCTCTGTTCTTTCTTTAGAATATTTTAGTTTCAAAGTTTCATTTTAAGATAAAATGATCCTTAACATTTGACTAAATACTCACTATAACCCTTATTCTTATTTAGAATATTTTGACCCTCAATGTTTCATTTTATGGCAAACAAAACTATTATTTTAGAGTGTTGATCATTTGTTGACTAATTACACTTTCATCTATAAAGGGATTTTTTACCAAAAAATTAAATATAAAGGGTTAAAATAATTATCTAATCAATCATTAAAAGTTTTCTTTTTTAACGATGCCTCTAAACAATCGTTCAGCCATTGTTCACAGGTTCTAGTTTATAAAGATTGATTTGTTGGGCCTATCCCTAATAAACTATTACCGTAAAGATTGCTTTGTTGGACTCCCTGGGCTGTACCTCATCATATGAAATGGCATCTCTCTCCCAATTATGGCAAGTTCAATAGTACCTACCCTATAAACTCCGGGGATATGAGTTTTATTTTTACAAAAGGTGATTTTATTGAAGTAATTAGAAGATAATATTTGTTTAGAATTTTTTTTCATCAACAATGTGTCGTAGATGTAGCTATTCGAACTCGGGTCCACTAAATAGAACGACATTCAATTTTTTCACTAAAACCATTCAATAGGTTCAACATCACTGATGCTTAATTCACCTATTTGTATGCAAAGTGCAAATTACGTGATTTTGGAGCATAAAATACGGTGAGCTCATTCATTTGCAGAGCTTCCAAACCGGAAAAAGGATAGTAGAAAGTGAGAGTTGTAGTGATAAAAGCAATGCCAATATTTTGAATAATTCTCCATAGTTATTACCTTTGACTTATGAAGAGTCATCAACAAGTTTCGGGCAGATGCAATTTGTAACTTTCCTATACACAGTATTCCATTGCCATTACAGTCAAGTCTTTACCCATAAATTCATCACTGCATGCACTAACAAAAGGGAAAAGCTACTTAATTTACTGGTTTCTTTTTAACAAAAGCAAAGCCTAGAATTTATTGCTACTACACTACTATTGGCTGTTAATATGCGATTCTTTCTTTCATTTATGTCGGTTTGACTTGGCTCAATGCCTCATCTTCTGATTGCGAACATTGTTTGTGGTGAGTGGGGACAAACGTAATATAAATATTACGGGATAAATTTTTTAAAATTTTAATTGTGAAAATCTTATAAAATTCTAAAAGTGTTAAAATAAATTATCTATAAAAATATAAAAAATATATTATAATTTAAAATTTTTATAGGATGACTGACTCATGTTACTCCAGTTGGTTCATATCTAGTGGTAAGCTTCATTAAGTTTGATGAGACATAATGACAAAATTATCTTCCAACGTTTGGACAAATTATCACTTTGTTCCTCTATTATTATTTTTAGAGTATTTTAACCTCTAATTTTTTAATTTTTAGTTAAAACAAACTCTATTGGCTGAAATCGTTAATTGATTAACTATCAATAATTATTGTTGATTTGACATTTTTACATATGACTTATTGTTGAAATGGAATGTGCATCATCACGGATAATGACACCATTAAAGTAATAATATGATATATATATCACATCAATAATTAAATACATGTAAAAATGTAATGTCATCAACACATGTTAACTATTAATTAACTAATAATTTTTATTTAACAAGAATTGTTTTGATCAAAAATTAAAATGCTCAGAGTTAATAAGTAAAGTAGTGATTTATACCTACGTTCCAAATAATTTTATCATTATGTCTTCTCATGAGGGTAGAATTG